ATCGCTGTGGCTGCGGAACCGTTTTCTCGAGGTACTATTTTCATTTTTCATATCTTCTTCCTCAGATATAGTGGCCGAAAATTAACTATTTTTCGGACGCACAAACCTAACAGCTAAACAGTTTATCCAGAACGGTGGTAGAATGAACATTTTTCCAGAATCAATTATTTTCCAAGCGCACAAACCAAACAAAAAACCAACTTATCTAGATAAACTGAATAAGCTGCAGCTCCCCAAACAGAAGCGCTATTTACGTACCTAATACACACACAATTTTGCGTGCATATGACCCCGAATAACCTTCGAATAACTTAGTTATTGGGGGTTATTAAGAGGTTATTGGGGGTATTAACCCCAATAACATCTCAATAATCTTCCAATAACTTATCAATACATTTCGCGGTTCAACCCTTATCTTTTTCTTGTCATTGGAGTTATCTCAAAAATAATGACATAACCATGCAATACCCTCCAAATAACATTCATAAACACACAATTCCCCAAACAGACCCTATTTTTAGTCAGCCGAGAATACTAACATTGCTGTATCTCTCCCTCACGCTGCAGGAAGGATAGCTTTGTAACTCACCGAGCCTTCTGCGAAGCTCTGGCGCATGAAGAGAGCTACATGGCTAATAATAGTCTGGCAGCCATGGTTCCCCAAGACCTATCCTCCTCTGATCTGAGATCTCTCTCCCACATGCATTTCAGCAATGAAAATTTAATCTTTTCTAACCCACAGATTTCTTCTGGAGACTCCTCATTCATGTCTGCTTCTGCGTTGCTGCAACGGGCAGCAGATATGTCGGGAAGCAGCCTCAGTGATGAATCACTCTGTCCATTATTTCTGGGAGCTGAGATGGGGGAGAGGAGGAGTGGAGGGATGACGAAGGATTTCTTAGGGTTGGGTGATTCTGGGTGTCCAGGTGGGAGGAGTTCTGGGAATGGGGGCTACTTCGAGAATGAGTTTTATTCATGCCAGCAAATGAGTCATGGGTGGACGCCATTTGAGAAGGACATGTGGCACTGAGGGGAGCTTTTTTGAGCAGAGATTTATGTGTTTGAGCAGAGATTTATGTGATTTTTTTTTTTGAATATTTTTGTGTTTGATATGTTTATGTTGAAGGAAGGAGAAACCTGTGGGAGTTTTTCTTGCTTTTGTTGGGGAATTGATAATGGCTAGTTTTTTAATGGATTTCAATGTGCTTAAGAAGTGTTTGTTGCAAAAATTATTATTCATTGTTAGGCCAGAGAGAATATTACATGCAGAGCTATCATAGAATAATGATATACACGTGGTACAAAGAGTTTGCATGCATGCGGATTCGTGTGGATTATATTTTTACGTCACACACGAATGGGAAGGAAGGAAATGACTTAGTGAAGTCTGTTATAAGACATACAGATACATACCATCACATTTTTTATATTTATATGACTCATATTATTCATATCATATAAAAAAATATCACTATTTAATTTCTTAGAAACTGAAATATGTATTTTCATGCATGTATAAAATGATATATATAAAAATTGAATGTTTAAATGCATAAGAATCGAGCGATATGTATATAAATCTTTTTTATTTTGGAATGAGTTTGTTTTTTATTGGAGTTATAAGTGATTAGTTGTTTAATAGGATAAAAAAATCTTCTTTGATGAATCATCAAGACTTTTGTAATTTTTCTAAGCCTTCATTGCATTATCTTTTTTTTTATATTTGCACCTCATTATTATATATTTAGTTATTTATCACAAACTTGAAAACCCTTTTCATTCATAAATTTTGATACCAAATTATTTCTTCCCAAATGTATAACATATCCTCTCAACTTTATAATTCTATTATTGATATTTTTGTGTTATACTATTCATCATATTTCAAGTCTTTTTGTTTTTCTAAAAACTCTCAGCAAATAATTCTTATGGTATCATTTTTATCTTTCTATGATATCTTCATAAATTTGCAAAACGTATGAATATTACCACAATGAAAAAAAAAAGTATCATAACAATAGATTGTTTAGTAACTCTCTAATTTTTTTTGTTAAACTATCCTTAAATAGCAAGCAAAGTAGATTTTTATTCAAACATTACAAATAAGGAAGATCTAGGATCTGTTTGGGACAGTTGAAACTTATTGAAAACAACTGTGAAACTGCTGTATAATAATCTGATGTTAAAAAACTGCGGTGGCTATTTAAAATTTATTTATTTATTTTAAAATCAGTCCGCAGCTAAAAAATTACAACCGCACATAGTCATGAGTGGCGGGAAAACGCAGATTTTAGCGATAGTTTTTTGAAAAAGCTGTCAAAATGTAGTTTACTCAAAAAGACAAAATTGTGGTGTGAAGCAACATCGCCACCGTACCGCTGCCCCAAAAAGATCATTGCACACATACAACTCAATTCTTATGTTTCACATAACCAACTAGTAAACTCAATTTTTACATATATGTCACCTTACCTTCACATTTAAAGGTGTATCTCATTTTTATTTTTTAAGAGTTTAAAGGGTGGCATTTCTTATATGATGCAAAAATTTGGGTGGTATAAATATAAAAAGCAAATTTCATGTTTTTGACATGTAAATACATAAGAAATTGGTAGAATTTGATTTAGAAAAAATAAATCATATCAAATGTCAAGATCTCAAAAAAATTTTCTTTGCATTCACTCATTATTAGAGAATGCAAGGATCACTTTGGTGTCAATCCAAGCTTTATTTAAAATTAAACCAAACCAATCAAATTAAACAGGAAATCATAACCAAAACATTGTTAAAGTAAATCAAGTTAAATAAAAACCAGTGTTCAGTTCCAATTTGATTTTCAGTTTAAGAATACATAACATAAGAGTTAGGGTTTCTCGTTACAATTTGGATCATTTTGGTTTTAATTTATTTTCAATTGTTTGGTTATTCTGATTAGGGGTGTAAGCAAGGTTTAAAAAATCGGATCGGACATTAAACCGATAGATGAGTTGATTTAAGGTTCAAAGGTTGAACTGGGGTTAAATCAGAGGTTGAGCCGGGAAACATCATAAATGTAAGAAAAAAATATTAAATATAATTTGAAGGACGCAAAAATTAGATGAAATTCAGTATGAAAAGTCAACAAGAGGGAAGCGTAATTAAGAAAATATAAAATAATAAAAAAGAAAAGTTAATAGACAAATAGTCATGCAAATTCGCAAAAGGTAAAGTTGAAAATGAAGCTGAGAATGATTAGAAGATTCAAACAATTTTTTCTGATTCTCAATAAAAATATAGCATAAAATAAAAAGTTGCATGGCGGTCGGTTGACCGGTTCAATTGTCAGTTCTAGCCAGTTCTTTTTTATTCGATGCAGAGTCGTTTTTCAGCCCTACCAGAACTGTACCACTGACCGGTTCACGAAAGAACCAGTTGAATCGGCCGGTTTCGCTCGTGTTTTTAAAATGCGGGATGCAAGTGAGTCACATCGAATTGTAAGCCAGCTCAAGCTTGGTTCAATAAGTGGCTCATGAACTGAGCTCAAAAAGCTAACAAGTCAAATTCAAGCTAGCATCGACTCGCCTCATTAGCTTCTGATCTGATTTATTTAAAACAAATATTAATATAAAATATACTAAATCTAAAAACTTTACCATTAAAATATTAAAAATGTTAAAAAAATAATTTCTTTTTAATTCACCATAACAAATAATAACTTCAAAAATTAAAAATCAATAGTGGTTCTAATACTGCGATGTCATTCTCCACAAAAAGTTCGAATAGTGATTTATGAATAAATTTGTAGGAGAAATGTATTTTTTTCTATGATTTGTAGTTGTTTAAACCACCACATTTGTTACAATTATTATTTTTTAATTATAATCATCTTACAACACAAACAAATTTGTATATAGTTTGATCATTTAGACTATAAACTCATTGATCAATTTGCAACACATAAATGAGTCCACTAAAATAAACCGAATAGCTTATGACAATTATTTTGAATTCAAACTAATTAGCTTTTCACCTTTCTTTCCTTTATCATATCACTCTTCCAAAGGATTGTTCCTAGTCTCCATTTAAATAAGATATTAATTATCAAATAATAAAAAAAATTTAATGTATGATATTGATCACAAGAGTAAAGTGAGCTATTATTTATAGAATTTTTCATCCCAAAAACCAAAAGATCCAACGAAAAATTGTATCGCGAGAAAATGGAAATATCTTTAGACTTGGACACTTACATTGAATTATTTTTTACTAAGTTAGGCCGCGCAATTTTTTTCTTTCCGGGATTTTTCTACGTAAATCTATTATATGTGTGTCAGATCTTCGTGTAAAACTGAGACATTAATTTATCACTTTACCACCACTAATTTTGTGCCACGCAACAAAACTCATGACCAAAACAAAAAATAAAATAAATAAATATATATATATATATATATATATATATTATATATATATATGCATACCACACCATAGCAATTGCATTTGGATGCATATAATTAATAAGAAAACTAAATAAAATATCAATAAAAAACTTGACGATTAGGTGAACCATATGATCATAGTGTTACCTCTTTTCATTCTCCCTCAAAGTTGCACCCATTGCACGAAATGAGGGATCTGACTTGTGAGGATTATCGCCCTTAAGAGGGAACTTGCATTTCGTACTCGTCTTGACCTTAAGTCCTTTTTATGAATTCTTCATTTTATATCACAACTGAGCAATTCAAAATCCTGTGCGTGGTCCACCATAGTATAGACAACTCTAGACATCATGAAATGAACCATGTTCATAGAAATAGAGAGTAGATTATTATGGTTAGTTGTCCCAAACAATAAATCTTGATTACAAATTCTATAGTGAATAAAAAACTTATTCATGTGCAAGGATTCATCAATCCTAGAAGGAGGATATAGACGAGAGTGGTTGATTAACTTTCAGTAATATTTCAAATTCTATAGTGAATAAAAACCTTATTCATGTGCAAGGATTCATCAATCCTAGAAGGAGGATATAGAGAATGATTAACGAGAGTGGTTGATTAACTTTCAGTAATATTCCAGATGGGTTGTAGTTCCTGTTTTTAGAGAAGCCTTGGCTAATGCTAAACAACATTATAACTTGAAAGCTTTTGTCAGAAGGGAAGTAGATGCCCTTTGATAGTGTATTTATCAACATGGTGTACAAGTTAAAAAAAACAAACGTTGAGAATGACAAGCATACTTGCTAATATAATGAGCACCCTAACTTTGATGAGATTGTTAGTTTTCTGACTAGTCTGAATCTCATGGAAAGTGAAAGATAACTGAGGATATATTAGAGAGTTTACCTACCACAGGTATGATTGTTGAAGCAAAGGTATAACTTTGATGAGATTGTTAGTTTTCTGACTAGTCTGAATCTCATGGAAAGTGGAAGATAACTGAGGATATATTAGAGTTTACCTACCACAGGCATGATTGTTGAAGCAAAGGTATAAAATTATTTCACTTCTGCTAAGCTGATATCAAGTGAAAATAACAGTGAGATGATCAAAGAATAAAACTATCTAAAATTTTACTCTCTAGGAGGGGATATCAATAAATGCAAGAAAAATTATTTAGAATTCTATTTTAAATATGTTGAAGAGGATGACTACTCTAGGCTTTATGCACCCCTTGTTGATCTATCAACTATGTGTTGAGATAGTACTCTTAGGAGATCCATTAGAAGAATAATTACATTGGACTACTTTAACCAGGTAAAAAATCAGGTCTTGTGGGTTTAGATCTTTTTGAGTCTATGAGAGTTCTACCCAACCACACACCCCCATCATCTTCCAAGATAAGGCATTTAAAGACACTAGCTAAGCAGGTTTAATATCTGAAGGAGCGGGTATAATGAATATATAAAAAAGGTAGAGGAAGACACCAGATGGCATCAAGAAATTGGCTACAAATTTGAATATTACTTGGAGCATCAAACATAATAGTTAAATTATATGGCTAGTTTAAACTCAACAATAGCACACATATTTATCAACTTACATTTGAATGTTATTCAAAAATGTGTTTATTTTTATGCATCATTGCATTGTTGAGCATGAAACTTGTTTGCGTAGCAGTCACGCCATATAAAAAGCCAACAATAGCACCAATGCCTAAGATCCTATGACGCAGGCGCAGAAGACGCCCCTGACGCGGGGCGATAAAACGCGTCAGCCGGCTAAACCAGCTTGCCAATATTCCCACTGACGGTCCAAGAAGAAAAATGGTGAATCCTATGGAGGAGACAAAACTATCAAAATGCAATCCCTAGAGGCGGCGGGACTACCACCCCCCCCCTCCCTCCCTCATGCACTCCTTACGGAAATACTTTAATAGCTCCTTTCTATAGTATTCCCACCCATTCTTTTGTGGGAGTTTTATTTCCTACTTCTTTCCTTTTCTCCTTTAATAGAAGTCTATATAATGTTGTTTTCAGAGAACTACGGCTCATTTTTCGGTTTTTGAAGATTTCAAATTCCTAGGTAGAGTTGTTCTCCCTGCTCTAGGGCTGTATCAGAGGAGGTGGTGGTGCTTCAGTTGTATCCTACTCCGAGGTGGTGTTGTATCTTCCTTTTTACCCTTTCCTAACCCTTCTTTTCCTCTCTCCTCCGTCGTCGGCCGCCCCATACTTCATTCCAACCCCTGCCGCCCTTCCTTACGGCCTATCCTTGTTGTCCACAACCCGACCTGCATTCTACACCCTGCCACCCCTTCCCTGCAGCCTGCCCTCGCCGTATAGCCACCCGACCTGCACCCTAACACCCTGTTGCCCCTTTTATGCAGCCTATTATTGTTGTCCCACCTTCCAACCAGAACACCGACCCGCCTACCTGACTATGAACCCCTTCCTAACCGACCTCACAGCCACCAACTCTTCCTCATACCCTCACTATGTTGTCGATCCCCCCCGTGCGGATCTTCTCTTTCGGGCCCTAGTCGAACATTGTTCTGTCGTTGTTTTTCCTTTTTCATTGTGTCATGTTGTAACCCTATTTCTATATTAATAAAAGTTTGCTTTTGTGTTCCGATAAATTCTGACTAGTTCTGGTATCATTTGGTAACAGAGCTAGCCTAACTCTAGTCCTATCCTAGGGTTCCTAACATCTGCTCTTATCCAAGCCACCTCCACGAAATTTTTTTCCTTCCAATTCTCAACCCTAGACATGCCATTACGGAGAGATGCATCAAACTCTACTTGGGAAGAGATTTAACAAGAAATCTGTCATCTCCAACAAAGATACATCAAACTATACTTGGGAAGAGATTTAACAAGAAATCTGTCATCTCCAACAAAGATTAGGATGAAGGGAATCAGGAAGATATTACATTCGATTGTGATCGGGTGAGTCAAGGGGAAGACATGGAAGATCATAGTGACAAAGAATATTGACCACGTTGTTTTTGTATCTAATACTAGAGGAGGTAGAGAGAAAAGGTTGCTTATGGGGGCAAGCGGGACTTTGGCATCAAGATTGACCTCCCATAATTTGAGGGAGGCATGAACACCGGTGAGTTTATCGGTTGACTGCAATCAGTTCAAAGGATTTTCAAGTATAAAGACGTACCAGAGGACAAACGAGTCAAGCTAGCTGCCATTAAACTAAAAAAGAATGCTCCTTATGGAGGGAAAATCTACAAAGGCAAATGAAAAAAGAAGTCAATGAGAAAATAACTAAGTGGGAGAAGATGAAGGCAATGCAAAAGAAATACCTCCCACCGCAATATCGCTAGGACATGTTCCTAAGAATCCACAACTTACAGCAACAAGATCTTGCAGTTGAGGAGTTCACAACTCAGTTCGACCACTTGCAGCTGAGTGTAAGATGGTAGAGCCAAAGGAGCATATGATAGCCAGATACCACGGGGGTCTGAAGTCCGCCATTAACAATGTGGTACAGCTACAACTAAACTGGACGTTGGGGGATGTCCAAATATTAGCCTTGAAGGCGGAGAGGTAGAAGAAACAAAGCAGACAACAATTGTCCTTTAAACCACCATCTTCAGCTAAGAAGTCACTTGCAACTTCTACAATCGATAAGGGTCTCAGGAGGAAATAACAAAATTGGATAGAGAACTGATAAGAAGATCAAAGTGGAAAGAAGCCAAAGAAAAATAGCTCCTCCAATATAGTTCAAGCTAGAAAATGTTTTAGGTGTCACGGCTACGGTCACATAGCCTCCAACTACCAACGAGTCACACTCACAGATACGTGCACCGCCAAGGAGATCAATGAGGAGTCAGGGGATAGTTCAGAAGAAGAGCTTCGACTCCATGGAGACGAGGGAGAAGCATAATCGTTTGACAAATACTGCAGTCCAAGACAGAACGAGACCAATCCTTGTTAGGGCATAGTATTTTTTGCACCAAGTGCACCGTCAAGGGCAGGGTCTACAACCTGATCATCGATAGTGGGAGCTGCGAGAATGTGGTGTCCACGCTCATGTTGAAAAAGTTGGGATTGGACACGCAGAAGCATTCCTAGTCATATTTTCTTACCTGGTTAAAAAGGGAAATGAAATATGTGTAGATCAACAGTGCCTAATTGACTTTTCCATCAAAGACCAGCTATAGGAACAAGTATGATATGATGTGGTTCCAATGGATGCCTACCACATTCTATTGGGTGGCCCTTGGCAGTTTGACCGCAAAACACAACATGAAGGTTACAAGAACACTTATTCTTTCAGGAAAGATGGGAAACATATCATTTTGCTACCAGCTAAGGATACAAAAGGCAGGAGCGATGTAATCAGTTAGAGATGCCCCCATAGTATCAACATTAGTTCTCCTGGAGGGAAGCGAGGAGGAAAGAGAGGTACCGACACTACTGCAACCACTACTACAAAACTTCTGGGATGCTATGACCAACAGTCTGTCGGAGGGGTTACCACCACTATGGGACATCCAACACGCCATAGACCTTATACCAACATCAGTATTACCAAACCGACTAGCCTACAAATTGAAGCCTGCGAAGTACAAAGAGATACAACAACAGGTGCAAGATCTCATCACAAGGGGCCTAGTCAGAGAAAGCACCAGCTTGTGTGTTGTTCCTGCCCTGATAGTGCCAAAAAATGACGAATCGTGGCAGATGTGCATCGATAATCGGGCCATCAACAATGCAGATTAACATCATTGCATTGTTGAGCATGGAGCTTGCTTGCATAGCATTCATGTCATATAAGAAGCCAACAACAACACCAATGCCTAAGAGCCTATGACGCAGGCACAAAAGACACCCTGACACGAGGCGGTAAAACACGCTAGCCGGCTGGCCAATATTCCCACAGATGGTCCAAGGGGACAAATCGCAGAGCCTGTAGAGGAGAGGAGACTATCAAATCGCAATTCCTAGAGGCGACAGGACCACCACCCCTCCTAATGCACTCTTATCCTTATGGAAAGCCCTTAATGGCTACTTTTTGGAGTATTCCCACCCCTTCTTTTTGTGAGGAGTTTCCTTTCGTACTTTCCTTTTCTCCACCAATAGGAGTCTATATTTTGTTGTTTTAAGAGAATTAGGGCTCACATTTTGTTGTTTGCAGATTTCAAATTCATGGGTGGAGTTGTTCTCCTTGTTCTAGATTTGCACTAAAGATGTGGTGGTGCTTCGGTTGTATCCTACTTCGAGGTGGTGTTATATCTTCCCTTTTACCCTTACCCAACCCCTCCTCCACCACCGGCCACCCCATATTTCATTTTAGCACCCTGTCGCCCTTCCCTATGGCCTACCCTTGTTGTTCAGTCGCCCAACCTGCACCTTACAACCCTGTTGCCCCTTCCTTGCAGCCTTCCCTCATTAT